AAATATATATATATATATATATAGAGAGAGAGAGAGAGAGAGAGAGAGAGAGTTCTTAAATATTTCACATATAATTAAATCATGGAAAATACAACACCAAGGACAATACTTTAAAAAAAAAAAAAAAAAAAAAGCTATTGAATAAATAACGTTTAATAGCCAATTGGAGAACAAAACGAGAGTTGTCTCCTTATTCATGCATACATATATTATATGTGAATTCCTTCAAATTTCTTTGAATACTAATACTTGAGACCAACATCTCAGTTGGGCGTCCCAGCAGTACAAAGCCACTGACCAACGAAGAGGGCAGTGCAATTAAGGTTTGGGTTGACCGAGCCAAAGAAGGCAGTTGTCAAGTTGAACATTTGTGTCACCTCAAAACATGTATCTCCACTTTGCACACCATAAACTGAGTCACATTTTGGGACCCTTGATTCTGACTTTCCAATCCCAACTGCTCATTTCAATATTGCCAAAAATCATTTGTTAAAAAAATAAAAAATAAAAACGCTAGTATATATGCAGTAATTATTAATTATTAATTGCACTATAAAAGTGTTATGAATATTAATTACTAATTATCAATTGTTAAACTGACTTACACTCAAATAATCGGCTTTCAGCTATGGAGAAAGTGAGGAGAAGAGAGAGCATCAAAACCAAGTATAAAGTAATGGCTTTGGTGTTAGCGTTGGCCATCTTCTTCTATTAATCAATAATTTGTTGTTTTTCTTCCTTGAGAGTGATTTATGTTATTTGTAATTCTCCCACGAATCCTTCCTATTTATAGTGGAAATTTGGTTTAAACGACCTGCAATCAATCCAAGAAGTCCGATAATATTAACATGAGAATTAAAAGCCGGCTTTTCTATGCGGCTTAGCTGTTGCTTCCCAATTTCTGCCTGTTCAGAATCAAACAATGATGCCACAATTTACAAAGACAGAACAATGTTTTTCTAATCCAACAAATATATGAAATTCTATTTTGGTACCTGTCATTGTAAACGTTTCAAAACTACAATGTTAATCTGACAGAATTATTCTGTTTGATTCATAAATTTAAACATAAATTAAAATTTTATGTGAGATAAAATATTATAACAAAAAGATTTAAATTTTGATTCAAATCCACAGAACAAACAAACTAGGTCTTTTTGTTAAATCTCCTAGAATATTTGGAGAATAATCACATGTTACTCATGTGCCAGTTAGATGCGAGTAAAATGAAAATTTTAATAGGTTGTAAGGAGATACTAAAAGTGTTTATTTTGTTTGAGGGTTCAAAATCAGGTGATTTCAATTAAAATTTAAATTTTATAAAAAAAATACTGTAACATAATTTTTTAAAGGGAGAAAGAGGAAAATAGGCCAAGACTTGAGATGAATTAAAATTAATAGGCCAATAGTTTAAATAAGTTAATAAATAGGCCAAATTATTGTTTTCGTCCATAACTTGTCTGGTTATGAACCATAACTTAATAAGTTATTGTCCATAACTTATTTGGTTATGAACCATAACTTGACAAGTTTGTCCATAATTTATCTGGTTATGAACCATAACTTGACAAGTTATGGCCTATTAATTTCTATAACTAAAAAATGACCTATATACTTTTTTAAGCTTTTCATATTGGCCTATTTCCTATTATTTCCCTTTTTAAAATTTAAATTTTTTATGCCATATCATCTGATAGGGCTCCAGCCTCCAAGCGCATCTCGAAACTTGGGGGGCATTTGGTGTAAGGGTTTGGGTGGTTCTAACCCTGGGTCCATAACAGAACCTATGTTTGGAAGCCCAAAACCTTGAGTTTGGGTTAGGGTCAGATGGGACATTTGGACCATTTGAGGCCCTGATTTTATGGAATCACCCTCCTCCCTGTTTTTGCCCGTTGGAACCCAAAACCACAGTAGAAAACAGTGGTCCCCCCTGATTTTTTTTTTTTTTTTTTGGCTTTGTGAACCATTTTTTTTCTTTTTTTCTCTTTAACTTCTCTGATATTCATTATAATTTTAGAGTGGTCATTTTTTTCTTCTAATTTTTGGTTGCTTTTTAAATTATATAAAGAATTATATTTGTTAATTAAACTCAAACGTGTGTTTGGCCGTTGGTTCTTGTGTTGGTCATGGTTTAAACTCATCAAAAAAAAGACAACAGTTGGAATCACATTTTTTGTTCAAACCAAATAGTAAAAAGCACATCTAAACAAAAGTTCAAACTAAAGTTCCAATTATTATGGTTCAAGGTTCAAACCATGAATCACAGTTTTAGGAGACGTTTGGATCATGGATTAAAATTATTTTCAATTTATGTGTATTTTTTGTGAAAAAAAATACTGTAGCTAATTATAAACCATGATTCAAATCATGGCATGAATTTCCTTATCAAAATGTCTCCTAAATTTCAAAAACAAAACCACCCTGTTTTAATTTCAAAATCAAAACCACTCTGTTTTGAACCTTTATACTAAACGGGGCCTTGGTTGGGCCAAATACCCACATAAGCCCAAGCGACCATCAGATGTTGAATTAAGCCGAACCGAAATTTAAACATTTGTAATGGCAGCTTCAAATTAGTAATAAACGAAAATGAATTTGAAGTGAGAAAATGAGGAAGCAAAAAGATATATATATAATAAAAAATTTACCAAGGGACGATATAATACAGCATTTCATTGTACAGAGAAGGAAACTAGAATTTTACATGACAAGTCATTGAGATCCCCAGATCTATACAAAATTTTACACAAAGGTGTTATGGCACAGCCAACAAAATTTTGCAGTCGAATCTTGTGGTGGCTTAGCTTTGTATCCAACAATTTAAGTACATAACTTTATGAAGGGAATCCGCAGCTGCCTGCTTTCCACTCTCACTTCCGCCAACTCCATTACTAGTACTTGAATCGCCGCTTCCTGAGAAGTGCTTTATCTGCGTGCTGTTATGAACTGACGAAAGGCGATAACTCCATTTGGACCTGTAATCTCTATGGCCTTCCATTGTGGCTACGTTGTCTCTGCTTGAACAACTCATTCTTTGATTCTCTTCCCCAAGTGAAATAATAATGTGCCGATGATAAAGACTTTTTCAAGTTTTTTATCAGTGCATGTACACATATATAGGAATTTAGGAGCCTAATCGGTTGGCTTGGAAAAAAGCGGTTTATGCGTTGTGGATAATCTCGAAGGTCAAAACCAGTGGAATAGACCATGGATTCTGGCTTTACTGCTGGCGGGGTTTAGCTGTTTTCGTTTTTCTGGTTTTATTTTATTTTAGGTCAGAGACTTAATGATATATGCAAAGGGATCTTCTTGGCAGTTGCTAGCAGTTTTACCGGTACATAACAAAAAATGAACGCAGAGGTAACACCTCCTTGGGCAGGCGGCGATGTGGTTCTGTGTCATTCTTGTTTGTCCCAAGTTACTGGGTTTTAATGATAATAATAGTTACTTGACCGGATACAAATGTGCAACATCAATTTAATTGGGAATTTCTATGGTGTTAGAGAGAAAAATTAGGAGCACCATATTAAAAAATACGATAATTTATGAATTTTACAACTTCAAACATTATAGTTATATAAATTACAATAAATTTATAAATTTTCATAAAAATGATAACCTGTGAAGTTTACGTTATAAACCTGCAACCTTAAATGATAAAGTTATAAAGTTATAAAAATTATGATAAATTTGTGAACAAACGCAGAACACATAGAAGGACCTCAATTTAATATTCACTGAAAATGATATTGCATCGTCGAAGAATATATTTATAAATGGTGTCAGTGTGGCGTTTGGTGACGCTTTTCCTTTCAGAAAGCAACCAAGAGAGACGCTCCACCAAACACGCCTCCAAAAATCTGATGAATTCTAATTTCGGCACTTAAAAATCTATAAATACTTGATTTTTTTTTTTTTAGCGACACAAATGTCAAAATATAAATTGACAGAGGTACGGCATCTGTGAAATGGACTGAAAATGGAAGGTGAAAGTGAAACGACAACAAATATAAATCAATCGGACTTTTGGGAAAACCGTGAAAAAAAAGGGAAAGTTACTGCGCAAACTTGAATCCAGTCAATAATGAATAACGTAAATGAGAACAAAATTATCAAAAAAAAAAAAAAAAAAAACGTAGATGAGAACAAAAATTAAGTCCAAACTCCAAACCTGAACAATCAAAATCAGCCAATACAGAAGATTGATTTTTACCGATAGTAACACTTGAGAAATTTGACAGGGCAATTCAGTCATTTACATCTCATAAGACCAGTCTTATTTCTGAAAACGAAAGGAACAAAATCACCTTATCTACAGGCAGGTATAACAAGCCAAGTTTAGAGTGCCCCCCACTTACGGGAGATTCTCTAGTTCATTTTTTTTTTTTTTCATTTTTTTTTTTTTTTTTTACACCGAAATATATTGTAAACTCCTCCTAATCATGTTTCTGGGTACAACATTCTTCATGTAACAAGAAAAGATAAAATGATAGAGACTGATTCTCATTAGTAGATAGATTCTCAACCAATCACAGAAAAAAGCACCCGCAAGGAAAGAAGCACCGCCTTTACACCGAGTCCACTCCTTCGACCTGCTGTCGAGCAAGATATCTTTCCCTCCGCTCTTTCTATACATTACAATAAGATATTAGTGTAAGAACTTCATGAAAGGTTTTGGTTATTTTACAAGGAATTCTTGTAAATTGTAGGACAAAACTCACCCACTCATCTATTACAAGCCCTTCACCAATAATCTTTGGACCTGCATCTTCTGGCGGTTTCTTGCGTGCCTCAAGTGCAGCATCCGCTTCAGCTAATTGGCGCTTCAACTTTTCCAGAGTCTTGAAGAAACAGAGAAAGAACTCTTTAGTATGCATTTGTAATCATGTTTATGATTTTGACATTTGCAAAAGAAATTATAGACCAATTTGTACCGGACTAGGACGCTCTGGATCAAGAAAAACAACCCGCAATATCTGTTCTATTGCAACTTGCTCCTTCTGCTCATCGAACTGTGCACAACAAAGAACATCTCAGATGCTTGAAAGAAAATGTAAGAGATTTTAATTAGCAATCAAGCGAGAATCTCTCAGATTAAATCAAATTCATCAATAAAAACACGAGACGCAACACACGTGATAATCCAACTCAAATCAGGGGAGAGGCAACTGAATGCCCATGAATTTGAGAGGGATGGAAGTCTCAGGTCATAGAGGAGCATTTAAGAATTTGAATGGGAATGAACCTTTATACCGTTGAAAAATCTTATAAGAACTATGACTTCTTTACAAGCAAGATACCAACAACTGTTTAGAAAGAAATGCATGTCTATCAAGTGAGAATTGCACATGGAGAAAAGGTTAAATAGTGTATGCACGCACACCTGTAAAGTAATGTACTAAGATCCATGATATAAACCGTAAACGTCCAGATAATTTGACCAAATGCAAATCCATGTTAAACATTATAAAAAGTAAGAGGACATGTACGCAACGCACCAGCTCAGGTACATAATCCATTGGTCCTTTCACCTTCAAGCTCATGATTTTAAATTTGACCCTGCTCTTTTGATCTACCAGTTTTTCATTGTTCTCCGGAAGTTCCACAAACTTGAACACTGCCATACATTTAGCAAGAAGAAGATCTTGTTTAAAAGATGGGCATGGTACAACTTGAACAATAATTGAATGGAAAGACAAAGGTTGTTTCACTTGTAATTTCAAATCCAATAACAGGGCCAAGTGTTGTTCAAAGAATATTACCAGTTGCAATGATACTCTCGCCAGGAGCAAGAATAGCCCCAGGAGGACGCATGAAACAACTTTTCGGTGCAGTAGTTTGAAACTAAAGCAAGAAAGCAAACAACTATCAGAGAGTTAAATCAGGAAGCTGTTTCAATTTCAACTAAAAAGAGGTATCTGCAAGTGCGACGTCTCTTATGTCCATGAGGGCATGATAATGGAAAGAAAATGCCAAGGAAATAAAAACAATAAATACAAAATCTAAATTAAGTTCGTACCTTGAATGCTACATGGGATTTGCTTGAGTTTTTTATTCTAATGGCACTTCTGACCTGTTTACCCGGTTCACCTTCAAAAGAAATAAATTTTACATTAAAAAAATAAATAAAAATAGCAAAATGAAAAACATTGATTCCACGCAGGTGAAAACGATCACAGATAAACAAAGTTCTGACCATGTTCCTTCTCAAGTTAGAGAGTATTGAACTTTCCAGAAATATGATTCACAAGCTACAAAGCCATTCTCATATATCGAACTCCATAAGATCAATCATACCGCAAAATTTCTTGAAAATCTTAACTGAATTCTTACCGATTGCATTTATCAAGTCAAGAATTACAAAATTCCCGTAAAATCGTTACCCAAATAAAATTCTTAAAAAAAAAAAAAAAAAAAAAAGAGCACGAACTTTCTACATAGTTGATATCAACTAATTTAAAGAATATTAAAACGAATCAAAGTTTCTCAACAGCAGAGGCCACAATTTCTCCTTACAAACAGAATCGCACGCCAAGCCTTTTCGTCTAATTCTTCCAATTAAGGTAAGAAATTTATCCAAAAACCACACAAAATCGAACATTTAAACAAATCCAAAATAGATCAAGCCTCAAAATCAATCAGATCGCGCGCTTAACTAAAAAAAGAACACACCAAAAGGAAAATCCTCACAAAAAGATCCATAAATAAACACACTTTCTAAAGCGTAAAAAAGAAAAACAAAAAAGGAGAAAAGACATACAAGGGAAGTAGAGCTTGTTGGAAGGATCGAGCTTGAGACGACGGCGCGTGGGAAGCAGCGACCTTGCGACCGACGAGACCGAAGTGGAGCCGTGAGGAATTGAACCGTCAACCTGCGAGGATTGATGGCTGTGGTGGTGGTGGTGGTGGTGGTGGTGGTGGACGGTTTGCGACGACGAAGATTGACGAAACGGCCGCGAGAAGAATCCCCAGAGCTTGCTGTCCGACGACGACGACGACGATGATGATTTCCGGTCAGCTACGGCCATATTCGAGATCCCAGGCCGAAACTTCAGAGCATTTGCAGCTAAAACTGCGTCGTTTTGTAAGCTCTAAGGGAATTTTGACAAGCTGAGGATTACGTTTTCCGTCGGTTTTGTTTTTGTTGGGTTGTTGTGGTTGGGTTGCTTTTTAGGAAGCTGCGTTTCGGAGCTCTGGTGAGGGGTCGGAACTCAGGGGAAGGATTTAATCGTATTTGACCAATTGCGGTTACGCCCGAGTCTTTTTATTTTTTTTATTTTTTTTATTTTTTTTATGTTCAATGTTCAACTTTTGGGTTTCATAAAGAGAAACGACGTCATTTATATGCATTTCTACTTTTTTTTTTCTTTCCAACTTTTTTTTATAATTTTTTTGCCGTGTCCTTGATGTCAATGGGTGGAAGGGACACCCCGTTGACGTGGGACTATTCAGTATAGTTGACTTGGGGGCATTATTAATTTAGTATTATTATTTTTCTTTTCAAAAATCGGTGCTTTTACTCTTTATGGTGGGATTAGTTTCGTTTTAATCATTGATTAATCTCAAATCAGAGTTTCTACTTTTCTATCGGTGAGGTTTGTTTTAACAGTTAAATTTAATTAAAATCGTATTAAATTAAAAAATATATAAAATAGATAATTTAAATTAAAAGTACTCACTATAAAATTTCATGTTTGTTCAGTTTTTTTTTTTCTCTGAAATTATGTTCATTTTACCGATTTGAGTTTAAAATTTGAATTTTATTACAGTAAAAAGTTCTCAGAAACAGTTACATTTAATTTTTTCACTGCAGTAAAAAATTCTCATATAAAATCACATCTCAACTTAAATTAAAAATTTGAATCAACGGACTAAATGGAAATGTATATACATAGTGAGGCCAATGTGAATGCGATGAAAAATTTAGATTTTCTGTTGTTTTGGCCTGAGAATTCAGACTGCTTCCAACTATTCTTCCTCCATGTTGATGCAACAACATTTAAACTATTAGACCCCACGATATAATGTGCGTGAATTATCCTTCCTTTATTATTGTTATTATTATTGGGAGCAATCAAGGCAAGATTGGAGGTTAGGTAAGGACTAAAGAAATTTTAAATACTAAAAGGACTGTAGCCATGAAACCCAAAAAATATCCAAATAATTATATATTATATATTTTGTGCGTTAGAAAACAAGTGAAAATTCTCGTTTATGCATTCAGAAATGAAAATGACACATGCTATAAGTCTAGTTTGAACTTCGTTTGTTTAAAGACTCGAGATGTGTACATAAATATACAGATGTATTTAATCAACTTAAATGGACTGTCGTATGTATTATAAAGATCATATTTCATGTACGAAATGTCCAAATAACAAGTTTAATTAATATTAATTCGCTCTATTATTGTGAAGAATAAAATTCTACGTTAAACATGTGATTGCAGACGTCCCATATTTATTGGCTAATTTTTTTTTCGTTTATACAATGATAAAGGATGGAATAAATTGTACTGATGCATCATGAATTTTTGTTTCACTTACAAATTGATCTATAATTTATATATATACACTATTCTAATTTTATTTTTTTAAACAATTAATAATATTTTCACGCTCTCACTTAACGCCGTAAAAGGAATATGCTAACACCGCAGGTGGGATGAAGGAACTTAACCTATGCTTTCGTCTGTTAGCATCAAGGGAGCCCAAGTCACAGCAGACTTAAGCCATATTTAGACTGACTGGCTGAGAAGCATCATTGCAGTCTCATCACGGACAAGGGGAATCCGCATTTTTTTTTAATCTTGATAAGTTAGATAAATTTGACAATTTTCAACAAATTAGTCCAATCGATAACAAATGTTTGACTAATATACAAAAATTAAGGTCCAATTGCTAAGATTAAAAGGTTTACAATTCAATTTGTCAACGAACAAAATTTTGAGACTATTTTTACAAAGAATAATGCTAAGGACACGTACTCAAATGCCAACTTTTATATACTAACTATATTGTATGTGCCTTGTCATTTTTATAATAATAAGCGTTTAAAATATTATCACGTCAATTAATAATGAGAGATTATATATGCTAACAACAAGATAATAACTCATATGGCAAATTAATTTGTATACAAGAGTTGAGATTTAAGTCGATATCATTAGTAATTACTCTTACAATAGTTACGGAGCATTTTGGTCTATTGATTAACGATGGCCAATAATAGCAACAAAATTTTGAATTGAGGGTTCTGTTGATCAAAATTGAAAGTACAAGGTCTAAATTATCAAAAAAACTGTTAAAGTTCAGGCTTCATGATGCAACCAAGTTGGTATTTACATTCCAATTTATGGTGCGAGGGATAAATCTTGAGGATGTGCATTTGGTCTAAGTGTCTAAAGAACAAAAAGTATATTACTTTAGCCAAAAAGGAGAACCTCAGTAAGTGTCAATTACGCGTTGGTCTTGAATACGCTCACCGAATCAGACCATATATGCCTCTACTGAACTTGAGGATCAAGTTGCATACAAAGCTGTACATTAATATTAAAGATGGTTGCTTACCCAATGAACACAGGGTGTGTTATTTAGAATCATGATTTTTAATTTTAGTTTAGAATTATAGTGATTCTGAATCATGATTTAAAATCAGTGTTTAGTTTGAATGATTCTGAATCATAATTCTGAATCATGATTCAGAATCTGATGTGATGTTTAAACTAGCTCAAATTATGATTCTAAAATCACCTATTTCTTGATTTAAAGTGATTTAAATTTCTGATTCTGAATCATAATTTTACAATTATAATTTAAATTTAAAATCATAAATTTTAATTTTAATTTTAAAATCATGATTAGAATCACCTTGATTTAAATTTTCATACCAAACGAACCCAACAAAATTGAATTCTAAAATAATGCGAGTCAATTCAATGATAAAATAATGTGGTCGTTACACGTTTACTCATTGTTCAAAACACAACCAAATCAAGTGCGAAAAAGAAAAATCAAGGTCTCGTTCAAACGGACTACAAGGGCAAAAATTCAATAGAACTAGTAGAGTGGTGGACTTTGTTTTTGTTGCTTTTTGTCCCTTTCTTTTTTTTTTTTCTTTCTTTTTTTTTTTTTCAAAAGATCAAAATTGAAATTCTGAGTCATCCCATTGAAGGACAGCAGAATCGATGTTCTGTTCTCGCTTCAGCTTATCTTTGACAAACCAGTCGCATACTCTTCCTGCATTTAGTTCCTCAATCGGACATCCTTCTTGCTCTGATATCACTCTTAGCAAATTTAAGGACGATATCTGCCAATTTTCATAGATTTGAGTTGAAAAATTTAAACAAAAACTACATAAAAACGATTCAATTGTGATATGCGGCATATATATAAAACATATTGCATGGCATAAAATTAATATACAGAGAGAGGGAGGGATAAAATAAAACAATTATATTATACCGTTAAACGGCAAAGAAATCGCTCGTGAGTGCTGAGGCCAGACATTTCCACTAAACCTGCCTCTTCTAGGCTCAAGAAATTTCGCCTCTCGCTCTTATTTTCTCCTTCTCCTTGCCCAGCGCTGGCACATCCTCTTATGCCAATTAGTTTTCTTCTTTGGACCAACATTTTGTTTGGAAAATATTTTATCGTTTGTGTTTGTTTTAGTCTTTGAAGCTCAGAAGGGGTAGAGAAAAATGTTGATTGGCAATGGGTCTTGCAAGGTCTCAGTGATAACATGTTTTTTCTCTAAAAAGAAAAGGAAAAAAAAAAAAAGCAAAAAAAAAAAATATTTTTGTTTTTTCTTTCAAGTTAAGGGGCCTGGTATGTACGAAGCTTAGAGATGAAGAGAAGAAAAGAGCATAAAGAGGCTTATCGGTTTGTGTTTGAAAAATATGTGTGATATGTGTGGTGGAGAATCTGAGGATAGAAACAAGAGCATTATCTTGTTTGGGGAAATTGTCTTGGTGCAAGTCTCATATCCTTTCCAAAGGTCCTTGTGATGGATTTGTCTTTGGGTTTTGTATGCTTTGTTTCTAGGGAGAAAGAGAGAAATATGTCAAGATTTGAGATGAATTAAAATTAATAGGCTAATAATTTATATAAGTTAATAAATAGGTCAAATTACTGTTTTCGTCCATAATTTGTCTGGTTATAAACCATAACTTGATAAGTTATTGTCCATAATTGTCCATAATTTATCTGACTATGAACCATAACTTGACAAGTTTATCCATAACTTATCTGGTTATGAACCATAACTTGACAAGTTATGACCTATTAATTTCAATAACTAAAAATTGGCATATATACTTTCATAAGCTTTTCATATTAGCATATTTTATACTATTTTCCTTGTTTCTATAGCCCATTTTAAACGTATATTCAAATCATTGTTAATTTTAATATTTAAAAATTAAAAAATTTTATAAAAAAAAAATACTATAACAGAATTAATAATTTGAGTTTGAATATATGAAATAAATAGGTGTGTGTTTTTTTTTTTTTTTAAAGCACATACAATATTTAAGTGTCTACAAATCTCTTTTAGTCTGCAATTGTTCGGATCACTTAGCTGGATCCACTTATAAACTATGATGTTAAATGAGATCTTTGTCGTTGATATGTTCGTAATTTTGTGCGTTTCTATGTTTAAAAAAAATCACGCCCATTTTTATTACTATGTGGTATGTATATTATAATCTTTCAATTTCAGGTCAATTACAAGGCCATTAGCCATAGCTAGTACTGAGGGGGGTTTTTTTTTTCAGAGTTAAAATCTCACAAGTGAGCGAAAATATTTTGCTTAAGTTTTATACTTGATTAAGCCGTGCATTTACAAATAATAACATAAATGAATCAGGTTCAACACACATTGCTGCTTTCTCAAGTTAAAGAAAAAAAGGTGCAAATTATTGATTGAAAAGAAAGGAAAAAAAAAAAGAAAAAAAAGAAAGAAGAGAGTTGTCAACTTGTCATCAGTTTTTTTTTAATTATTATTTTTTATTTTTGTGGGTGGAAAGAAGATGGTTTCTAAAAACCAGCTAAATGGGCCTCTCATTTCACGACAACCCTTCCCTACAAAACTTCAAAAAAAAAAAAAAAAAAAAAAAAAAAAAAAAACTTTTTTCTCCTAAGAATCATATGATCTAGATGTGGTTAGAAACCTTTTCCTGCCAACAATTTTTGAGGATTCGGCTGTACTTCGAGCACCCGAGTGAGTTTGTGTTGTGGGATTTTCCGCCAACAAGCGAGGAAGGTGCCACATTGCTCATGTCTTGATTACGGAAACTTGATCAAAACCGTTAAAAGAACTCTTGGCACATTGTGATCGAGATCGCGATCGTGTATGCCTAGGTCGAGAGCAAGACGGAAAACGACACTTATTCTAATGGGAGTGAGACTCCCAAAAGATCCACACGTGTCCCCTTCTTAGGATGACAAACCAAGACAAGCCGCATGTAAAGTAGTAACGGAATTAAGGAGGACAAGACACATATCCAGGAGGGAACGTTTGTTTCCTTTTGTAAATTAAGAGGGATAATTCGTGTCACGTATTATATTTTTATCATTTTTTAATCATTTTTTTAAATTTATAATCAATCTGAATACGATATGTGATACGAAATTTTTTAAAAATCGTAACACGAATACAATATGACTATTTTACGGGTTAACACGACACGACATGAAAATAATCCATAACACGAAATTAACTCTTGAATCCGAAATTGACACAAAAATTATATATTTTTATTTAATTTATAACATATTAGAAATAATTTAAAATTCATAACACACTAAAATACAATAACATCAATTAAAATTAATCAAATAATAATATAAAATTTTAACTATAACTATCATAATATTACAAGTTCATAATAAAATAAAAAATATATATATATTTTTTTATTTTTTTATGAGTTTCGTGTCGTATTTAAGTTAGGTGGGTTCAACTCAAAATTAATATGTATTTTTCGTGTTAATTTCACGTCGACTCAATTTTAACCTAAACTTCTTTTTTATCGATCTTAACTCGTAAAATTCGTATCGTTTTTAAGTCATATTATCATATTGTGACTCATATTACTGACGTTATTGTAAACCTTCTAAAGAAGATGTGCTAGGAAACCCTAATCTCAAGAGAATGTAATTATTTCCTGTTATGATCGAGACAATTAAGAATATTTAAGCCCCATTTTTTTTGCTGATTCGAGTTTAAAATTTAAATTTTATTACAGTAAAAAGCTCTCAAAAATAGTCACATCTAAATTTTTTTTACTACAGAAATAGTCACATCTAATTTTTTTTACTACAATAAAAAATTCTCACATAATATTATATCACAACTCAAATTAAAAATTCGAATTAACAAACTAAACAGGTTGATCAAGTCACTCACACTATAAATAGTATATAAAATCTCTCATGAAGGGGACTTCTTTTTACTACTACTATTATTAGTCTACCAAAATATTAATCTCATGACCGTTTGTCTAGAGTGTCTTCTACAAGCGGAGCTACCAAAGAACTTATTGTGGAAAGCTGCACCAACACTTTACTTGTTCTTTACACTTTTTTTTTTTTTTTTTAATTTGTTCCTTGCACTTGCATATTAAAATTTGCGTTTCCAATTAATAATTGAGCATATCATCCTTTACCACAAAACGTTTTTTTTTTTTTTTTTTTTTTTTTTTTAATTTTAAATTTTTGTCTGAGAAATTACAGTACAGAAATAGAAAACTAAAAACTAAAAACGAAAATGGGGGAACTACTGAATTCACGGTAACAGCTTGTTTATTTTGTTGAAAACATTTTACAATACCTTCTCATCAAACTCAACCATTTAACAACACCTAACCCTAACAGCAAAAACCACAACATATTTTACAGAGGAAAAAAAAAAACCCAAAAACAAAAACGACCAAATATTGATCTTCAAACAAGCAAAGTTATTAGCACCCCGTACGACTAAGGTATCAAAATCTATTTGCTGGGATTAGGAGATACATTACACGCACAGGAGAAAAAAGTATTCACAGCTGAAATTCACAATTACTTACAGTTAGCAAGTCACTTTTTTGTACAAATCAATCTTATAATGAGAAAAAGACGTTGATCAGGTATATATATTGTCTATTAACATATACAAGGCACGTGATCTTGATCGTTCAATTAGGACCCCAGCAGCTCAAGTACATGACGGTCCGGAGAGACTCCTCGGCCTGCTTAAGTCTGTCGTTTTTGGCGGCCGTACCATTAATATTGATCGATTGGTCAAGCGCTCCAGAGAAAAGGCTCGCCTTCTTAGAAGAAGAAGAAGAAGAAGAAGAAGAAGAAGAAGAAGAAGAAGTTGAAGAAGTAGAAGACGCTGATGAATCTCTCAGAGCCTTGGAAACCTCATCTTTCATCCTCTGCACCGACCTTGACCCTGCCTGGTACATCACCATAATCGCGTATCACAAGCTCATCACAAAACAAATTACTAGTATTCTTTGTATTTTGTAAGGCTGGTTCTTATACTTGTGTGTTTGCGTACGTATAAATATACACACACACACACAAATACATGTATATATTGATATAGCTTGGTGGTGGTGGTGGTGGGGTGAGGAAAGTGGGGGGCTTTGATGAGAGCGGAGAATTATCGTAGGAAACAGACAGGCTGCATAAGTAGATAATGGAAATACTTTTTTACAGAGAAAACCAGGGGCGGTGGGACCCGGTTATGGGCTCTATGGAAACGTGTCTGTTTTCTATTGGAGTATTTGGATAAGGACAACGGATGCCTACGTGGGATTTTGAAGATCCCTTCCTTCTAGATATTTCCTGATTTTGTATCCTTTTTGTTGCTTTCTTGACCCGACAAACAGATATTTTTGGCTCGTGTTTATTTTA